TTGAGTTTGTGAAGGATATCCTTAAAGATTGTATTCCACTTATAAGATTTTTTCACATGGATGATGGCGAATATATTAAAAAAGTTGTGCCACGTATTCATTTGCTCCCACATCAGTTATGTGGAGATCTAATTTGCTACAAACAGACTAAGGGTGTACTTAAACCTAAATCAAAATTATTGCCGCCCAGGGAAAGAGTGTCAACAACTAAGAAACCTCGTAATATCTCAGACCCCTCCACAAGCACCTCACCGACTCATAAGGAGCCTCCTATACATATAGCAGATGGTCAAAGTGAACCTTTGAAGACTCAACCAGAACCCAGAAGATCACAGACGCCTTCAGGTGTAAGTATTTTCCTATAATAATAAGTTGACAGTGAATGGTTGGTGAGCCTATGGCCTAAAATTAATCCATTACCACTCTGTCCAGATTAATATTGACAGTCCAAACACATCTCACCCACCACAAGAAAAAGTCAAGTCACAAATTCTCAATGATGCACAGATTCAGTGGGTATTAAGTGTTGTGATATTCCATCAACATAAAGTGAAGAAGACATGCTTTCTTAAATTACTTTATCAAGGTAGTCATGATGGTTATAAACCAAGTGTTTTCCATAGCTTGTGTGACAATCAAGGGCCTACTATTACAGTTATTAGAACCAAGGAAAATGAGATAATTGGAGGATATAACCCCACAAGTTGGGACAAAACACTTGAGAGGTTTACACATACATCTTATAGTTTTCTATTTGCAGTGAAGTCAAGTGGCAATGTTGTAAGTTTTTGTCAAAAACCTGCCACTGCTGTTCGTAATGACCCAACTTATGGACCAGCTTTTGGTACAGATTTAGTTCTTTTTGGTGGTTTCACTTCTCCCAACAATTATACTTATCAGGATGTATATGATATGCCTATTAGAGATAGCAGCGAAATGTTTGCTGTGAGGGAGATTGAAGTCTTTCAAGTTACTTTTTAGTGCAACGTTGTTGTATGGTGATGTGACTCTTTATGATATGGATTTTTTTATATCATCAGATACTAATACAGTGGTGTGCAAAAAATGTTTCACTGCAGTTTGCGAATATTAATATTATGAACGCATGTGATGCGCCAGTTTTGCGTTCTATTGACTTTAGCAGCCGGTTTCGCGTGTTCGCCACATGGGTGCTTTGATACCGAAATCTTCTGCAAGCTGCCTGTGCTGATCTCGATGTGCTGTTAAACTCTGCGATTTCGAGGGCATTATGGGACAGTCTTGGCAGTCACCTTACCCGAAGCAACGGTCAAGACTCGAAACACGAAAAAAAGAAAAGCCACGCGGATGATGGGGATGTTGGCGATGGCGATCGAACATAAGTTCGGTGAACGAAGTCTGATCGATCGGTCACAGCAAGTTGTTTGAACACTACATAAAAGTTTGGAGATATTCTTTTGTGAAGAGGAAGGGATGGGAGGTGTTTAAGAAATAGACTAATGATTAGTACCTCTGAGAATGAATGAATACCGGAGAAACTAGGAGATTCAGAACTTATCAAACCAAAGCTGAATTAGGAAAAATGTATTCTACACTGTTTGTTGCTCCATTTACACTTCATTAATATTAAGTAACACGTAAAGGTTTTGTTTACAATTTTTTTAGTTTATTTTGTCCAGAAATTTCAGTCTGGGGTTTGGGCGAGCGATTAATCTGTCGCGTAGGGGGGTTCTGGTTATTACCAGACCAGATTAGCTTCGTGCTACCGCCCTTAATACAGTAGATGGTCAATTAAGAATCTATAAGTGACCTATTTATATAATTAAATTAAATGCGCGCCCCTATCCGAGCTTCCAAATAAGGGTACCCACAATAAAATAACAACAACAATTATTATATTGCGGAATCGAAGGGGAATAATATTAAACAGGGCTATCTTCGATTTGATATTCGACTAGTCGGGTTCTGTCATTTGTCTCAAACTAATTAAACAATATTCGTTTTTAATAAATAATTAATAACTCTCGTTTCTCAATTAAGAGTACTAGATCAACGGAAATTTATACAGCTTAAGTGAGCCGTTTTTACAACTTGAGTGAGCCGTTTATTAATACGTACGTACCCGGTTAAATAATTAATATTGCAACGATGAAAAAAAAAAAAAAATTTTGATTCCAAAGGGAATCGTTTATTTGATATTTTTAATTCCGCGAAATGGAATTAAATATAAACAAACTAAATAACATATACAACATGAGAATAAGGGCCGCTTATATAACCAAAAATTGCAACAGTAATCGACATTTTTCAAGGACCAATAGATTTTAAGTTAACTAGTGGCGCTGGTACTGATGCTCAAAATATGTAACGGATGGCATCGCGTACCACTATTCTAAAAATTAATAATAAATTTTTGATCTAATTAAACGAATATCATCTTTTGCTCTGGTCAACTCTATTACGACAAACTGTCGGCATTGCAAATAATGTTATGCATGGTAGTAACAGTGGTAATAAGCTTTAATTTGCACTAGGATGATAAAATAACAACAAGTCATATTTATGATTTGGATCCGAGAGTAATAACTAGACTAACTTTGTTAATTAGAGCAACACTTTTTCAATTATTGCTTTTTCGTTCAATGTATTTTGAGCATTTTGATTGGAATCATGTGTCACATGACTAGACTGCCATTTAACTGATTATGATCTGCTGGATGGATATTTAATGGATCATGCTACCACCCGGTGAGTGTCTAAATCTCAGTTCTCTTTGAGAAAAAGAGACTACCTAACTATGCAAATTCGACAGCCAAAGCCTTGGTGCACCCCCAGGGACGCAATATGTTTCTCGGAACGCACTTTTTGGAGAACAAATCGAAGAGATCGATGATGATATTGTAGATGAG